CCGCTGCCGGTCCCCCCCGAGGGCGCCGCCGGGCCGAGCGAGCCGCCGGGGGAGGTGGCCCCGCGGCGCAGGGGCGCGGACGAGCTGCCGCCGCTGCCCCTGCCGCCCGCCGGCCAGGAGGTGTGCGCGGCGGCCGGCGACTCCGCGGAAGGTCCGAGGCGCCTCCCGGAGTCTGCGGACCCCGAGGCGGCGGCGAAGGGCGGCCCCGGGGAGCCCGAGGCCAGCGCCGGCGGGGAGGGCGAGCGGCGGGGCGCCGGCGACCAGCCCGAGACGCGCTCGGTGTGCAGCAGCCGCAGCAGCAGCAGCGCCGGCGGCGACCAGCGCGCTGGGCACCAGCACCAGCACCACCAGGCCATCTGCAAGATCTGCTTCCAGGGCGCGGAGCAGGTAGGGCCCGGCGGGACCCTGGGGCAGCTGGCGGTGGGCTCCGACCGCGGGCGGACTGGCTCCCGCTCGCCGTGGTCAGGCGTTCAGCACCAAGGACAGAGCACGCCTCCCAGTTTGTCTCCTGTGAGGCTTGTCTGGTCCTGCCTTGTGAGCGGTGGCTCCGGTGTGTTCCCCTTTCCCTTTCTGTGAAGGCAAATAAAAATGTCCCAGTGGCGAATACAGGGTTTAATTTGATCTACACTTTTTTCCTACCTGGTTTTGCAGCTACACGTTCCTCAGGTGCTTTAATGATAATAACGTTTTTCTTTTGAATTACTTGATGGATTCGGTTTATACATAGAAGCAAACCTATAGGATGTAAAGTGAAGTCTGTTTTCTACAGATGTATCCTGAGACGGATAGTCTTAGAATACAAACTGGGCGTGAGTCATGTCACAGCCAAAAAGAGCAGGTTCTTTCCTTACTGCAAATTTTGGTGACTTAATCTCACTGATGTGAAAAGCATGTTACAGTTTGTTCAAGACAGATAGGAATATACTTTGAAAGAAAGGCTACTTAGCCAGCGATGTACTTTATATTTTGTTAGAAACACAATTATAAAATTATAAACACCATTAGAGGCGCATGAAAACTTAAATGAGAGTAGTCATGCAGAAGAAAGGATAATATATCTCTTACAATATGTGTGGTCTGAGAAAACATTAGGTTTAATATTTTTAAAAGTAAGGAAATTGCATAAGAATATGTAGGCTTTCAGGAATACATCACCCTAGGTCAATATTTATGATGCTACATTTAGAAAAAGTAAAAGCATAATGCTATTGCAAGCTGCTTTCTGGAATGCCATGCCTTTCTTCTTTAACAATGATTAAGAATAACTGCAGAGGAAATGCATCTGACCATCCACTTAAAAGTTATTAAAGAGATTTAATAGTACAGCTTTTCCCCCAGGGTATTGGGAGCTATATCTTGCAGACATTTTGTATGTTGGTAGAACATTTATGTCATAACTCTGAGCAATATCTTTGAAATAGTTTTAAGACTTTAGCTTCATTCCCATCAGAGGTATAAAATTTTAATTTCATTTTCTAGGATAGAGCTTGATGCTTGTATCCTTCTGGGTAAATGGTTTTGAAAGACAAGAAAGCGAGCATTGGAGTTTTAAAATAGAGATGCAGACAGAAATATTCATACTGAACTGTTTTCTTTTTAGGGTGAGCTGTTAAATCCCTGCCGATGTGATGGGTCAGTCCGTTATACACATCAGCTGTGCCTGCTAAAGTGGATCAGTGAGAGAGGTTCCTGGACCTGTGAACTCTGTTGTTATAGATACCATGTCATAGCCATTAAAATGAAACAACCGTGCCAGGTAAACAGTTATAATGTTTATTTTTTCTGAAATAATTTTGTTAACATGAGTGCGCTTGAGTTTAGTTATTACTAAGGATGCTTACTTATGCTGCTTAAAAACATTTTATGCAAATCAGCGTAAAAATCAAGATTTAGAATTTGTAGAGATGTGTTTAGAGAACGCCATGACTTTTTTTTATCTGAGAAACTCAAAAGACATTACTCAAATGGTTTCCTTTATCAATTTCTTATTTATTGATTAAATTATACCCATCCTTATTTCTAAAGGGGCAAGTTGATAAAATGTTTTATATTTCACTTAAACCAATTTTATTAATTAGAAATGTTACATAATTAATTTTAGTAGTGTTTTGTTAATTTACGCATTTAAGCCCCAATGGGCTCCTTTTATGGAAAACAGATCCAACTAAAGCAAAACTTTACTAGTGTGGAAACTTCGGTTGAATATTCTTTTCACTTAGCCAGGCTTTCTTTTTCATATGATGTTTTTTCACAGTTAAATTTTGGCTACTTTCATTCTTTGCTGTTTTCAACTATGTAGTAGATGCGGAAGTATTCCCAACACTTACTCTCAATAATACCACTGTATGTATTCTTAAAAACTTTTTGTGTATAATCACATAATAACACAATACCCATAGTTCTACACATGCCCTGGAAAAATAGGTTTGTTTTTTTTTAAATGTATGCTATAACTGATTCAGGTTCTTTGAATAAGTTGGTGGAATGTAAAATACAAAATAGTAGCAATGTCATCTTAAAGAAAAGCAGAATAATGTGTAATTAATGAGATCTGGTAGGCTGAAGTTAAGCAGACATAAAAGAGTAGGGTTGAAACACAGAGACAAAGGAGTAATAGAAGGAAAAGAAAGAGGGAATTGAAAAGTTGAAAGGGGAAAAAGTAATAAAATCTAATATTCCCTGAGCAATATAATATAGGTGAAATTGTTAGTATTTGCAGAAGGAACCTGGAAGCAAAATTGCGATTGTATTAATAATTTAAATTTCAGTTTTAAATTTGTGCAGCCTTTATATAGTTTGCAATTAATTTGCATCTCTAATAATTGCCATTTAAGGCATGATTAGCAAGCATGAAATGAAAATATGAATTTCTCAAGCTGACCTGAGGCTTATAAATAACTTGGAAAGAGAAAGTGTAACTAATGTGGATAAGTGATATTATCATCCTGAAGACAGACACGAATCTGACACATTTTCCCAGAACCTCTAATTGATTGAACTACTTGGGTATCAGTTTATGGATCTATCATAATTGTCTTGAAGATTAGATGAAACTGTGTCCAAAGACAAGAATATGGGTAGTATAATTAGATCTAAAATAATTTTATGAATAGAAATATGTGGAAAGATTACAAAAAGGGAGAATTTTGGGGCTCCAGGGAAAAATCTCATGAGAAGGACTATGGTCAGATGCTCAAGAACTGAACCAGTGCTAAGTATTTCAAAAACATTAACTTATGGCTGCTATATATTAATTCATTTGGGATGATTAATTTTGAAGCAAATAGAAATAGATCCTTGATGTACATTTTAAAATAGAGAAAAGACAGAGAACTGGGGCAAAAAAAAAATACTGTATACTAATTCTAATCCTATAGCAAAAAGAATTGATTACTACTGTCTTTTGCTTCATTTTAAAAAAAAATTCAATAATTATTTTAACAAAAGCAATTCCTAAACTATATATATATATATGTATATATGATACGACCTTCCTCCCTCCAGAAAAGTACCAAAACCAAATCCAGTATTACTAACACATTTAGGATTAATTTTATTATAATGTATATAAATATTACTGTGATTTGTAATCTGATATGATTGTTGCAGTGATCTGCAAACTCATATTTAGCAACAAAGTTGATATGAATGTGATGATGATAGCTGAGATCATGCTGGAGATGAAATAACCTTCCAGGACTACATTACATACATATGTAAAGTTTGGTACTCATAATGAACAGAATCAGTTATAGAGTTCTCAAAGTGTGGATTCTTACACATAGGAGTAGTATATTCTAAGACAAAGTTTAGCTATTTATCTGACATTTCTGTTATGAATGACTCAAAAACTAGCATTCACTGTGATTCTTAGTTTTCTCCCTTGCTGGTGTGAGGCCAATCAGCTGGGAGCAGGTGGTTTCTTGGATGTAAAGCAGAATAAAGAATAAATAACAATATTAAGAGAGAACATTTACTGAACACTTACTCTGTGCCAGGCACTAAGTATTTTTTATATATGGATACTGATATTTAATCTTCATAACAAACCCGAGGGGAGAAATGTTATCTCTGTTTTATACAAAGGGAAACTGAGGCACAGGAAAGTTAAGTAACTTCTACTAGGTACATATGTAGTAAAATGCAAAGCCAGGTTTCAAACTCAGTCAGTCCAGCTCTGGGGTCTATGGTTTTAGCCACCATGTTGGAAAATGTTCTTCTCAAACCCATCCTAGACATCTGGATGTTTCTGATCTATCATGACTTGTCCTATTTAAGGCTGAGGCAAGCAGTAACTGGTTTCAGCCTGGGTCTCTAAAGTTATTTGGAAAGGTTTTGACTATCTATTGCTGCATAACAAACCACCTCAAAACTTAGACAACAACTATTATTTATTATCTGTTAGAAGTCTGTGGGTTGACTGAGGTCAGCTGGGAGGTCTTTCTCTACTACATGTGGCATCATCTGGAGCTATAAGCATCCAGAGATTAGGCTGGGTTGGAACATCCAAGATAGCTCATTCATTCTGCTTGTTCTTGGTGCTGGCTGTTGGCTAGAAACTCAGTTGGAGCTGCCAACTGGTGCCTCACTTCTCCTTCCATGTGATGTGTGCTTCTCATACTGTGATAGTTGGGTTCCAAGAGCATGAAAGTGGAAGTTACGAATCTCTTAAGGCTCAGCCTTGGAAGTGACATAGTTTCACGTCTGCTGTATTCTCTTGTTTAAAGCAAGTCATGGGACCGACTCAGATTCAAGGGAAGGGAAAATAGACTTCATCTCTGGAGTCTGGTATTTCTTTTAAAGAGAGTGGCCATCTTTATCACCAGAAGAGGTAGCTTCTAAAATGCTTTGCTTACCTGCCCCAGTCTCTGCACTTGGTCCTCATTAAATCCAGATAGATCAGCAAGCATCACCATAAATTGCTTCCCAGGGCTCTGAACCAAAGGAGGTTAAAAAAAATGTGTGGGAGATTAACTCACCAGTGGTGCTGGATGGATATCCTTAAGCATTGTCGAAAGTGATTATTACCATGATATATCCCCTGGTGATCACAGGGAGATGGGGACAGAGAAGGGCAAAAACCGGTTAGTCAGAAAGCAGATGTGTATGGAGGAAACGTATGCCGCAGTGAGTCTAATGCCTTAGTTTTACTTGTTTTTCTCATTGAGATTTGAATTTTTTGAGAATTGGGATCTGAACCTCCCAGTTTCATTGGATTTCAGTGATGCTCAGCAACATGACTCAATAGAAAGCTAACGGATGTATCCTCTACAACATATTTAAACCTTAATTGCTGCATCATTAGCAATAGAAGTTAATTAAGACATCTGAGGTAATTAAAATGCATTTACCTTCCTACCTACTTGCAGAATCTATTTTATTTATTAACATCCAAGATGATGCATTAATGATATTTTAAGAGTAAAAGCTAGTGCTGTTTTGAATCTCATAGCATGGTCTAAAATTAGTGAAATGCAAGAGCATATATGATCAAACTTATTTTTAGATGGTGGTGACATTATACACTAATTAAGCTATATTCCAGTTTATGAACGCTTTCAATATTTTTCCAAGAGACATGGATGTCTCTTTGAAGAGACAACATTTACAGGATACAGTATTGTATAGGAAACTTTAAACTTGCTATAAAGGACAGACTATACTGCTTAAACATGGAAAAATATATGTAAATGGAAGGTAATGGCTATGTTACCTTAGACAAGCTACTTAAACTCTTTGCACCTCACTTGACTCATCTTCAAAAAGATGACAGTGGCACCTGTTTTATACCTTATTTTGAGGATTAGGTACATTAATATACATGAAGTGCTTAGAATGGTGCCCTGGCCCATGGTAGGTGCCATCTTGATGTTGGCTATGGTTACAATCACTTGCTGTCAGCCAGGAGGCAGGGCCCTTCACCTGGTCATTGTTCACACATCCTTCTTGTTCCCTTTCCTCTGTTGTCACCAAAGTGAAGTTAATGGCTCCTCTTTCCATACCATGCTTTATCCCTGAATTTTTACCCCCCTGCTTTTTCTGGGAACCCATCTCAGTTTTCTGACCAACTTAGTTATCATCAATAATGAATGAATCAGCATTTTTAAAAAGCAGATGTAATGAGATATAATGATCTCAGTGCAGTGAGCATATTTATTCTCCAGATGTCCCTCACCATAGGTCTTATTTACGTTCTTAGTGGAGTCTACTCATAATTGGAGTTATGAGATGCTTTTAAATGTGGCCAATCATGGGGTGCACTGTTCAAGGTCAGGCAGCCATGGTTTGTTTATGCTTTGGAACTACCCCTGTGGGGTGGAGTCCGTGTGACCTGTGAGTAGGAGGGAGGTCAGAGATCCCTGGAGGGCAATCACAAAGGGGTAGTGGCCAAGCACCAGTTGTTGCTCCATGAATTAATATAAATATACTGGGGACAGGATATGTCTCAGGAGTTTTGCAGAGCTTTGCCCTGAAGGAATATGTGAACGTGTTGGTTTGCATATTAAAAGCTGATGTACCTTGGGACGGCATGTCTGAAAGACAGTAGCGGCTGTATCCCACAAGGCGCCGTGTTTCTCAGACCTAAAGGTTTGGATTTGCTTTGTAAAGCAAAGCAAATCTGTTAAAAACTACAGGATGAGAGCTGATCAAAGAATGCCCGCCCTGAACAGACAGCCCAAGGGACAGTTCCTGCTTAAAACTCCGGACAACCTGTCTCCATTCACAATAACCTGATAAAGAAAATATGGAGCCAAT